CTGGTCAATATAGAGTAAATCCAGCATTTTCCAGCACAGTGTTCAAATTTCAAGCACATTTCAAACCTTGAAAACACTATATTTAAAATCAAGCATTTTCCAGACTTTCAAGGCTCTTTACGAACCCTGATACATAAAGGAACCAGATGAAAAAAAGCGCAAGGCAATACAAACAGTCTGAGGGATAGTTATTGGCGATAATTAGACATTTGTGTATGCAAGAGCTGGGGATCTTTCAACCCTCCAGTTGAGAGACAACTGACTTTACAACTGAGCCACACACAGCCACCCCTTGGGCCCTCGTGATGTGGTCCAAAACATCGATGGAGATTAACAGGACAGCCTATTCCTTCTCATTAATGCTATGCTGTGGAGCACAAGGCTGTAATTATTCCAAGGTCCTTGTCTGATGTTGTTTTATTCAGTTAAGACACTGTTCCATATACTATCCTTTCTCTTCATTGAAAAACAAAGTGACTGTAGTGTTTCTATTTGCCACCAGAGGGCGCCATAAAATCTAAGCCCTTTGATAAGATCACAATGCCTTCAGGCACAGAAATTCAAATTCAAATTCAAATTCAAAAAACTTTATTTGTCCCCGGGGGGCAATTCAAAGGCACACAGAGCAGTAAATTAACAACAGTGCAAGTAAACAAAACATTTTAACCTAAATAGAAAGTGTCAATTTAAATACAACTTAAAGCTTAAACTTAACTTAAAAATACAAAATATAAAAGAGTAGATATAAGTGGACAGTGATCGGACTATAAGATGTAAACAGATGTAACCAGAACTATGTGCAGTAGTGACCAGATGTAAACAGAACTATGTGCAGTAAACGAGAAATAAATATATATATATACAGAACTATGTGCAGTAGTGACCAGATGTAAACAGAACTATATGCAGTAAACGAGAAATAAATATATATATATACAGAGCTATGTGCAAGTAGGCAAATACTAAATGACAAGTTATTAAGGTGCATGGTGAATAATGGAACAACAGAACTAATATATACAATATAACTGTAAGGTAAGAATTAGATAAATAAAGTGACCGTAGTGCAATGATGGATAAGAACAACAGGAATACATTAACCAGAACTGTATGAATACTGATATAAAATGGATAGAATAAAGTGATGTAGTGAATGAGACCAGATAAAACAGAGGCAGTTAAGGTGCATGTCAATATAAAGGAAATTCACAGCTGAGAGTGTGCATTGGGTGAGAGGTGTTGGTGGGGGGGGGGTTAGGAGTTGAGGAGCTGGACAGTCCTGGGAACGAAGGTTGCTCTTCTCCTCTGTGTCAGGGACAGTGAAGCCGGCGTCCTGAGGGGAGCCACTCAAACACTGGAAAGAGAGCGTGTGATGGGTCCTGCATAATCCGACCTGCAAGCCTGATTGTCTGTTGCTCATAGATCGATGTCAAAGTCCTTACAGGTGATCTTACAATGATCTTAGAGCAGACTGTGACCGTGCTCTGCAAGGCAGTTTCTGTTCTGGAGGGTGGTGGAGTGGAACCAGCATGTTATCGAAAAAGTAATAATGCTCTCAATGAAGGAGTAGTAGAAGGTCAGAAGAATGTTCTTACTGACTCCAAAGGAATTGAGCTTCCTTAGGAGGTATTTTCGCTGCTGACATTTCCTGAGAATCTCCTTGGTGTTGGAGGCGAATTTCAGCAGGCTGTCGAAGATGGTACCCAGGTACTTATACTCCTCTACTAGTTCGAAAGGATTCCCATGGATTGTGGTGACTGCTGATGCAGCCAGTTCCCTCTGCTTGTTGGAGAAGGTCACCACCATGTGTTTGGTCTTGCTCACGTTCAGTTCGAGGCAGGAGCTGTCACACCACTCCACAAACTCCTGAAGAACTGGTCCATGGTGCTGAGAGGGGCCTGACAGCAGAGACAGGAGAACTGTGTCGTCCGCGTACTTCACCAGAAATGCAAGAGGAAACACTGAATGTGCAATGTTTTGGACATGTCTGCATTGTACAAATTGTGTATAACCAGACATTTCTGCAGGAAATCATATGAACAAAAAGCTGATCAGGAATGCACAATTGTAGTAACTATTCACATTACTTTTTTTGAAGAACAAAATCAGTAACTCACACATTTCAACAGGATGCCTATTCAATGAACAAATGTCAATTGCTCCGCAGGATCTAAAATTCAGAAGCTCGACATGAAATACAAGAAGTTAGAGTTAAGATGTTGGAGATAAAGAACAAATTTAATAAACACATTAAAACATAACAGTGTCACACTTTGGGCTGTAAGTTTTGTTTTTTTTGTTTGTTTTGTCTTCATGAATGACTTCATCAGGCACAGTTTTGTCTCAAATTATACAAACTTAACTTTCCCTAAAACTTGGTAACTCCAAAACACAAGTGAAGTAAAGACAAACATAAATACAGATTCTTGTTGAAGTCCCACTGTTCTCACTTTACCTGTAGGGCTGGGTAGATATCTTCCCATGACTCAGCCATTTGAGCAGTCTCTCACGGCATATAATTATAATCTTGTGATGTCACAGGACGTTTCAAGAGTCACTCCGAGGCTCTTTAAAGACTGAAACCTTGATTTCTGATGGCTGCTTGAGGCACTGGTTTTTGCTGTGAGAACATTTAATGCCCTCTTCACTTCTGTTGCTGGTCCTCAGTAGGTTGTCAGCAACAAACACGTGTTTAAAGCTCCTGTGAGCATATTTGGGGTAATGTAGCTTTTGGCACCCCTTGTGGACATCTTATCTCTTTGCTTATCTCTTCCTGTACAAGTCTTAAATGGAAATCCCAAATTGTTCTCTTTTATAAATGTCAAACGTGCTACTCACAATGAAACTTAGGCTTGAACATTTTTACATTTTTATTTATTGTTTATTTTTACAGGGGCAGTGCACAATTAAATGTAATTAAAAAAGTTCAGTCTGTTTCAAAACCAGCTAAGAAGCTCCCCACTTTGAGCTTTAAATATGACATTTGATGGTTAAATTAGATGAAAACATGATTCACACAAGTCAAAATAATGTGTCTTTTGTAGAAGTGTAGTAAACATCATTTCCATTTAAGTGGAAGTTTAGTAACCACTTTAAAATCCTTCAAATAAAATCTATACCAGATCCAGTAGGGGATGATCTTACACTGTTTGTCAAGTTGAAGTGTTTGCCTTGCAAAGATAGAATCAGAGTTACAGTAGCTGCAGACAGCAAGCAATGCTAGTTGAACAGGAGCTGAGTGACATGTATGATAGCCTCCTCTAAACCTCAGTGAAAGTTTTGTATGTACTGGAATGAATGAACGAATTAAATTAATCTTTTATTTTTATGTCTGGCCTCATATGGCCCATCCCTATGGGATTATAAAGACATATTTAAGGAAAACATTTCCTAATGCCATCACACTGACACAAAATGAAACAAATACAAAAATGATTCAAAGATAAAGCTAACAATTCAACAGCAAAACACTGGTATAACTCGATAAATACCTCATTCAAAAGAAAAAGAAACAGAGGGACAGAGATTAGATAAGAAAAGATCTCTATATAGCTGTACATACACACAGGCCACAGAACTGTATATACACCATTAGTCTTTAATAAAATAATCTCTTTAAATCTTAATATTTGTATTTTATATTTCTGTAAATTGTCTGTAGTCATCTGTAAATATTGTAAAAGCTAAATTACATTTTTATCTTGCATTTAAAAAAAACTTAAACCTGCACAGCTCTGTTAGTTTAATATTTAATCTTTGTTATTCTTTAATTGTACTTAATTTTGTGTTTTATTTTGACTAAAATTAGATATTGTGAAATTATGAGGTTTTGAAAAAGACATTTAATGATATCACTATCCTGAAGCATGCTATGTGTGTTGGTACTTCGTCATAAAATGGACAATACAGTAAAAAGTGAGTTTCGCCTTCTACTTCTCCAGGCTCACAGTAATGACATGATCTTTGGTCTTCTTCGGTTCCAGTATATTGACCAGCAATGGTAATATCCCAGAGTGAAACTGGGAACAGAGAGAATGCAGGCTCTTTGATAGGTCATACACAACATATTTTTCGCATTCATGAACAGTTTTAAATGGACAATACGTCCGTAATTTCGCTGCTTAAGCGTAATTTCGGCTTGTGATTAACCTGTTTTTTAAATATTACGGCACGTTCTTTAAACATCCCCACATCCACCTTCTGTCTGTGGCTGTCGAGATGCCCAAGCCCATGCTCATGAAGAAGATCACACATTTTTGACCACATTCGCATCCTTGTGAGAGATCCCACATGGAAATCTTGCTTGCCACTCTGCTGTTTTTAATGTAAGACAACCTCTACGAGAGAGTGTGTGAGAGAGAGAGAGAGAGAGAGAGAGAGAGAGAGAGAGAGAGGGAGGGAGCATGCCATAATACATAGAAGTGGATAATGGCAAAAACATAACTTGGTTGTATGTCCAATGTAGGGCTAACTAAGTTTACAAGTGAAGCGTGTGAACAAAGACGCAGACTCCATTTAACAGATTGACGTTGTCTTCTATAAATAACTTCAACAACTGCCGCTCAATTAACAACCACAACCACATGCATTGAGTGTGCAAGAAGGGTGTCTTAGCCTCCACAAGGGTTGACAAAGGGCTTGACATACGCATATACAAACAAAGAATAAGAACCCAGACACAAAAGAACCCCTACACTTTAACATATATATATGTTAAAGGAAATGCATAGGCAATATAAATATAATTACGACAGTGATATAATGTGAATAATAATATTGTGTTGTTCCTAAGTTGCCATGGTGAGATCCTTATGTCAGTTTTGGAATTTAAAAGCAATATTGGTTGAGGGATTTAATGAAGTGGGATTTGAGAATGAAAATAAAAAGGGGGCTTAATAAATTTGATGAAAGTTGACTTTTAGGCTTTGATTTGGATACAACAAGCTTGACTCAACACCCCAATCTCATAATCATAACGCTTCCTTACTGAGACGTGGTGTTCAATTGAACTCCGCCGAATGGTACCAAGGCTCCCCGTCGAATTTAATTCTGGTGGTTTCGTCAAAGAATTTCGCAAAATGGCTCAGTGGCGCTCCCTTGAAATTTTCAAAATGGCCTCCCTATAAAGGGTTTTTTCACGTACACTCACGAAAATTGGTACGCATATTAAGCTTCTTGGGATGGACTAAAAATCCTCTTGCGGTGTTTCAAAAAACCCGACAGGAAGTCCACGAATTCAAGTTGAATTTCACAAAAATGGCCCAAAATGGCTCAAAATTGCCAATTTCAGCCTTCCTATTTGAAGGAGCTTGCCCGAAGGCGCTCATCCGATCGCCGCAAACTCAGTGTCAGTGCGTTCTAGACAGGCTCAGCATATCTCGTTGTGCTCCGCACATTATTTTGTCAAAGGGCGTAGTCGTGGCCTGTAATAGAACTTTTCTGCGCGTTTTGGCAACTTGCCAAAAAAGTAAATGCTTATATCTCAGCTATGCAGTGTTCAATCATATTACAATTTCTCATGCATGATACGGGATCCGCCCTGAACTCATCAATGATGGACATTTTTTGATTAGTCACAGCGCCACCTGTTGACACCAATTCCCCCTCAAAATTGGTGTGGACCATGCTAACACCTTGGCCATACAAGACGTTCAAGCTCAAACGCCTACGTCCAGCGCTGTCGCCATACGGACGCACTGTCGCCATCGAACAGGAAGTAGTTTTTTCACGTGCTTAACATAGTCGTTCAGTTCCGAAACTTCATACATATGATCCTGGTGGTAAAGTCAAACATTTGATACCGTTTAAATGAGTAGGCGTGGCTTAATGGCTCAGTGGTGCCCCCTACAATATTTCAAACATTCAGCCCCCGCAGCACGTTGAACCTACTGTTCTGAATTTTACAATGCGTATCCATCTTGACAACACCTACAATAAACCCTCTTGCACCCAAATCCTCAAAATCCAACAGGAAGTCCACAAATCACATCGCCATAAACAGGAAGTGGCTGTAACTCTTGCTAGCTAACGCTAACTAGCTAAACTTATAAAAATAAATAAATACAGGTATCAAATGAACCTGCACGAAATACTGCATCCATTGGTACCAAACATGGATGCTATCATGTCGGGAAGAGGGGCTAATAACGCTCTCAAGTTAAGGTAGTTCAAAATTTCTCATGCATGATACAGAACCCGTCTGAAATTAAGGCAATGCTGCCATCTTGTGGTGACTATCCATGATTTAAATATTTTAATTTAGAGTGTGGTTCCAATTTGTTCCACAAGGAGGCGTAACCTCCAAGTGAGACAGCTTAGTGTGCTCGGTAGCAGAGGCAGGACAGGAAACACACCTGTTGCTATTATTTCCCTGTTAGGCCTATTTACAGGTGAGTGTGGTCTATATATTCTTCTATAGCATATGGAAGGTAACGCCATACTTTAGTGTGTGTCAGGATGTGTTTTAAATTTGTTTTGAAGGTTTTAAGGTACTTTAGCTATGATGCTCATGAGCGCTAGCTTAGCTCATCGCCATGTTCATATAGCCTATGTCTGTCATGGCTTGTACCTAGCTCCCATGCGCTTTTGCTAGTTTTGTAAAGCTCCTGCATATCTCTTAAAGTAACCGTAGGTTAATGAAGAGTGTTCGTTTTCATATTTTGTACTTATATTCATGTAAAAAGTGTAGCGCTAACTCCGCTAGCTTTGCTGTTTCTCTATGGGATTTCCCATGTTATTTGTCAGCATAATGCGAGAATTGAACTTTTATTCAGTTAAACTGGAAACCTGTTTGCAACTGTATTACATTGATAAGAAGCTCTTAAGTAGCAGAATCAAATTATTTTACATTTGTGAAAAGAATAATAACACACAGAAATGTTTATTTTGCATTTTTGCATGAAATAAATGACAAGTATAAGTTTATGTAAATTGCTGTGAATATTGTGTTGAACTATGGATAAAATGTTGTTTTTGAAGAAAGAAAAGAAAACGGAAATACAGTTTAAGTAAAACTGAAATACATAAACAGATGTATAAAAATAAAGACTGGCAGAAGCGAAGCCGAAAGTGTTCAGCTGTTGGATGCAAACTTAGTGTCAGTGTGTTCTACTGATCAACATATGCAGTTGTGCTCTGCACGTTATTTTGTCAAAGGGTATGGCTATGGCGTGCGTTCAAAGTTTGATGTGCATTTTGGCAACTTGCCAAAAAAGTAAATGGTCATATCTCTGCCATGCAGTGTTCAATCATATTAGAATTTCTCATACATGATATGGGGCCTGCCCTGAACACATCCATGATTGAAATGTTTTGCTTAGTCACAGCGCCACCTGTTGACAACAGGAAGTTACTGCTTCTCAGTTAGCATTAGCCATTGCTACAAGGTAGCTCATTTCCCGCTCAGATTTGGTGGGGACCATTCAAACTCCTTGGCCATACAACACTTTCAAGCTCAAACACCTACGTCCAACGCTCTCGCCATACAGATGCATCATTCGCTGTCAAACAGGAAGTGGTTGTAACTCTCATATACTTTGTCTGATCTGCCTCAAATTACACATGTATGATCAGGGTTGGCCTCTGAACATACTGACATAACAATAGTCAACTTTAACCATAGCGCCCCCTCCTGCAAGGAGTAAGTACTACATCCTATATACTTTGTCTGATCTACTTCAAATTACACATTTATGATCAGGGTTGGCCTCTGAACACATAGACATAACAATAGTCAACTTTAACCATAGTGCCTCCTACTGCAAGGAATAAGTACTACACAATGCTCAATTTGCGGTCGCAACACACCCCGACATGCACAGGGGTGCAAGGGACCTTCATCACCGCTTGCGGTTTTAATTAGTATTTACACCTGCTATTGCTTGTCAGCCATTGCTCTGCATCAAGACTTTGCCTGCACTGCATGAAGCCCAGTTTTTCATGGCTGACTGTTGATTCACCAATTTCATACAATAGACAATCAATCCCTGTGTATTAGTATTCCACAAGACTGCCTTGATCAGGTATCAACTACAGTCAGTAAAACAGGTTTGGTAAAAAATATGACAACTGGGAGTGACAGTTTATTTGGCTATTAGATTGTTCTTGAACTATTGTAAGAAATGTGTTCAATTTAATATAAAATACTTTAAATAGACACTAGATATTAATAGACATGTGTGAATAAAGCTTGAGCTCATCATGATAGGCGTTATTTTTTTTAGCCATGAATCTAAAACACTTGCTGTGTATCAAAAACACTAGGGACATTGGTTATATTTACACAGTTACCTCCCCCCCCAAAGTATTTATTGCTCTTGGTATATCTCGCAAGGTGTTTTGCACACATTACAACCTTTTTATACAATATATCAAGTGTTTGTTAATGATAACCAAATGATCTGTAAACCTTTAAGAGATCCTTTATAGAACATCTATAGACAATACATAGATAAACACAAAAAAAGAATAAGTGAAGATTATAAAGGGTCGTAGCTGTTCAAATATGATTTAATTGATTCCTTTTATATTCTTTATTACATCCCTGGTTCAGGAGATGCCTTGCAAACAAAAAATATCAAAATGTGTTCCAAAATATTACCATGTTTATACGTATTACAAATATTTAATTTATAAAAAATCTCAAAATATTTTTCGATACATTTCTTCCTTCTTCCCAAAATGTTTTGTGGACCGGATAAAACCTGCTGTCGGGCCAGATACGGCCCACGGGCCGTATGTCTAACATCCTGCATTAAGGAGTTATTGTTGCGTCCTGACGATAGACCAGTTGAGAAGAACTACTGCAAATGGCTGAGTCAGAGCTTAGTTAAAGGCCAGTTATTATTTACAAATTATTATTTAATATACTGCTGGTTTGTTTTAATTACCTGTATAATGATTCACTGAAAGAGCTGACCAATTTCACCCTAATTAAATCAGTGTGAGAGAGCGTCGGGACTGACTCTGGGACAATGGTCGGGCTGCTTATCACCGAGCCCCCATTGGCTGCTAAGGCTTCGGCGATGAGCACCTCAGGGTGGCTCTTGGCCTTGTGGGCAATAACCGAGTCCTTTTTCTCAAACTTTTTGTTGCAAATAGAGCAAGAGAACTGGTAGGAGGCTTCTGCATCATGCTTCTTCATGTGCCAGTTTAAGGAGGCCTTCTGACAGCAGGTGAAGCCGCAGATCTCGCACCTGCCACAGGGGGGAGGCAAAGCCCAAGTTATGATCAGAACTGAAATGAAACTCCACAATTGACTCTATTACGAGTGCAGGTCCTGCACCAACAATTTTACTTCAGAAAACAAATATATTTAAAATATCAGTAAAAAACTAATTATAAAGACATAGCAGTCATATTTTATACTGCATACTACTAGATGTTCAATATTACTTGCATTTCAATACTGTAACTCAGTGTTTCTCAATAGGTGGGATGGATTTCCAGTAAATAAATGTCATTAGTTGAACAAAGTCAGAAATTTGGGTCATGATGTCTCACTAAGGAGTTATTGTTGCGTCCTGATGATAGACCAGTTGAGAAGAACTACTGCAAATGGCTGAGTCAGAGCTTAGTTAAAGCCCAGTTATTATTTTCAAATTATTATTTAATATACTGCTGGTTTGTTTTAATTACCTGTATAATGATTCACTGAAAGAGCTGACCAATTTCACCATAATTAAGTCTTAATAACAGCAAAACAAGTCAAACAGACTGCTCACACCTAGTTACCTGAATAAACAATAGCCAGGAAATAAACAGCATTGCATTACACGTTAAGAGCTGACTGACCCACCCATTACTCCCGAAGATACAGCCTCAGCAATACATACAGTGAGATGGATGTTCATTTATAACGCCTTTGTTCATTCATACTTGGATTAACCATGCTTCAGTCTGCATGTGTTGTACTTCTATTTCTGTGCACAACGTGGATTTATATAACTGAGCTCCACTTAGCTTTTATAAATAGTGCGCTGACAGAAAGGGCTTAAAAAGCTTAACAATAGAAAAAATGAAGAGTTGTTGAAGCACTCCTTCTTTTGTTAAAAAAAAAAAACGTCTTCATGTATTGTACATTGATGGTAGAAGACCACATAGACTGGTGATTTGAAAGCAATTTGGGTTTATTGAAAATAAAGAATTCTATAAAAAATTAGACACATTTGAAATCATGCTGATGACGATCACGTCATGTCTATTTTTAATCTACCTCCTCGTACGCAGCACATGTCGGGGCGTGCATGACACATGTTCACCCTACTCACTGTATCGGCTTCTCCCCTGTGTGGATCATCCTGTGCACAGCCAGGTTGTGGGAACTCTTGAAGGCTCGAGCACAAAACTCACAGATGTAGTCCCTCTGATCTAAGAGACAAACAACAATTAGATTGTGTTATTTTTATCCAACAGTAGATAAGAATAGAAAGAGGAAATGACAGGTTGAAATGACAATCTCTTGTTGATTTGTTATCTCCTAAAAGGCATTTCAAGCAGCTCAGGCACGCGTGGCCTGTTACAGACTGAACAGTGTATGACCCTCACTTCACCTGTGTGGTGTTTGGCATGGCGCAGCAGCTGCTTCTGGAGACGAAACAAGCGTCCGCACGAGGGATGATCACACATGTACTTCTTTTTTAGCAGGTGCTGGTATTTTATATGGTGCTGAAATAAAAAATAAAAAAATAAAACAAGAGAAAAAGGGTGAGTCGGTGTCATTTAAAGGATTCAACTTAAAGTTCCTGTGAAGATCTTTTTCATCATGTCATGTTTGGCGTCCCCTGTGGACAAAATGTATATCCTATCTCTTTGCTTACCTCTTCTTGTACAGTACTCATTTCAGTCTATGTCACAGCAGTTAGAAACTCCATACAGGAGCTTTAATTAATTAAACATTAACACTGTTTTCTGAATATTACAGTCAACACAATCGCTGTTTCTTTGGCATAAATAGTTGCTATTGCATTGTGCCAAATTTGACAAGAGTATTTGGTGGTTGCTGTGGCTAAATTTAAAAAAGAACACCAACCTGTAAGTAACGTGGGTGTGCGAGGACCGTCCCACAGCCCTCTATTTCACAACGGACATACTGCACTGTGGGCTTTTTCCTACCAAGTTAACAAAAGTTGAATATTAGTCGTCCAGTTGGTGCACCTCACGTGCCACAATAACGCAACGAAGACTGTTACCTCCGTTTTGGTGGCCGGGAGGCTTTGTCATCTTTTTGTTTTCTCCCCCTCCTAAAATAAAAAAAAAGATTCCTTAATTGTAGGGGCGGGACCCTCACAACACAAAACACATCACATGGGTAATGATATAATACTAATTGTGATCATTTGCAATACTCTACATGATTTGCTGCTTGGTTTAAAGGGGAGCTGATAATGCACCTTGTGTTATTGAGTCAACATGATACACATGTAAACATTTTTTTAAATGTTTTTAAATTTTCCATTCCAATTTTCTTAAAACATAGGGTTCACACAATATCAGAATTGTTATGATACTAGGAACAATCTAACCATATCAACACAATTGCAATCAAAATATAAGCCCATGGGTACCCGAGATTGTGACCTGCACACAGCGCTGGTACAGAAATAAAGGGAGTAAATTTTCTGCACAACTTTTTGATTAAGATCTAGTATCTTTGTCATTTTTGTATGGAAGCGATTAGTGATCAAAATTCAAATGTTAAAGCTAATTTGAAAATTCAAATGCATTAACAGAAATGCGTTTTAATTTTCAGAATGAGTTAATTATTTGACTCAAAAATAAAATGATGATTAATTTATCTAATTTGAATTTTGAAAAAAATTCACATTCTTTGACTAAATTAAAATGAGGAAGAAAATTACATTTGCTTTATCATTTTCAAAAAATGCCCCGCTACATCTGTATCATAATTCAAATGAAAAATCTAATTTTAAAATTAAAATACAGTAACAGAAAGGCGTTTTAATTTTCAGATTATAGGTGCATTATTTTACCTGTATTTAAAATGAATATTCAGTCATCCAGTTTGCATTTTTCTTTTACTCTCTATGTATGCATATTGTATGACATCATTCAAATGAAAACGAAAAGGTCTTTGGCTTTTCGTTTTCAAACTTGCCGTGCTAAAAAGTGATCATAATTCAAACCAACTCGAAAACGAAATGACCAAGTGGACGGCACAGGAAAGTGACGTCAGACTCCAGCTCCCAGGCAGGTGAACGTAATATTTACAGTCTATGAGGCGAGCGGGCAGAACGCGCAGTACGATGGGTGGCGGGGTGAATCTTTGCTTTATCTTTGTCATACAATATGCATACATAGAGAGTAAAAGTATAATGCAAACTGGATGACTGAATTTTCATTTTAAATATAGCACTATAATGCACCTATAATCTGAAAATTAAAACGTCTTTCTGTTCCTGTATTTTCATTTTAAAATGAGCTTTTTCATTTGAATTATGATACAGATGTAGCGGGGCATTTTTTGAAAATGATAAAGCAAATGTAATTATCTTCCTCATTTTAATTTAGTCAAAGAATGTGCATTTTTGAAGTTGAAAACTAAAATTCAAATTAGATAAATGAACCATCATTTTATTTTTGAGTCAAATAATACACTCATATTCAGAAAATTAAAAAAGCATTTCTGTTAATGCATTTGAATTTTCAAATCAGCTTTATCATTTGAATTTTGATCACTAATCGCTTCCATATTTTTGTGTCTTTTTGAAATCTCTTTTATTGGTCATGCATGTTCACTCTGACTGCATGACTGCAGAGTTGTGCTTCTGCACTATTCCAGCCGTGCGGACGTTTCTTTATACAAGTAGCCTATGATCTGTATAGCTGATATGTAATTTAGGATGACATTATTTTTTTTTTGTTTATGCACTTGGCAAATGAATGGCAAACAACAAGAAAATCCAGAATGCAATTCATTTTTTGTGACACGGTCATGCAGTAAAGACGTGATAATTTTTATTTTTCTGGGTTCTTGTTTTCTTCTTGTGATGAAAGCTTCAACAGAAAACTCAAAATAATTGGCCTTTTTCGATTCTCTGATTTTTTTGACATTTTCAAAATCCAAAGCTAAAATACGCCAACTAGAATTTACAATTTTAGACACTTCAAATCCATTATTACCCCTTTTTTTTTAAAGAGGAGTTCGGATAGTTTCAATGACGGACACACTCGTACCTGCCTGCACACGCATTGAGAGAGAAAGAGCGAGAGAGAGAGAGCTGATATGCTGCACGGAAATAATCACCCAAGTCCGGACCTCACTGAGAACACTGATTTGTAAACACTCACGTGTTAAAAACAGGTGAGCCTCATAAAAACATACCTGGGTGGCTTTTAATATTCCTCAACGGTATGCCTAGCATGTCATGCTCACACGACATCTAATGAAACCTGCGCTTCTCTGCTTCTGATTGGCTAGTAATGTTGGTAAGGTTGAAAGCAAGTGTAGAGTTATACGCATGTTGACTCCATGGTGATAAACCGCATCCATAACAACTTCCTTGTTTATTTGTCTTGATTTGTCTTGATCACAGCGCCTCACGTCAGAGAAAAAGCACGGTGCCAGGAAACTTTAAGCCCTGCATACCAACTCCTTTCATCCTCTTGACCAAACATAGACATGTTTCCTATCAGGAAACTTAAAATGGGTTGCTAGAGTAGAATTACTTGTATCCACATTAGTTATATAAAAACATGATCATTGTTATCCACTGTAAAAATTGAGGACTGGTGACTCAGACTGAGGCTATCCATCTGGCAGGTCAGCATTTTTTCAACATTGTGGTTGAGCTTACGTCATGTATGTAGCTGTGAAGCTAGCCTGAGAGTTTACTTTGGCAGCATCAACAAAAGGTTTTTTGGACACAGTCTTGGGTGGTGCCTTGTACGTGTATTGTGTGCGTTAGTTTCACTAAATAAATTTTGTTGTTGCATAAGAAGATTGAATACAAATCAAGTTGGACAAGCCTTCTTGTTCTCACTACATCATATAGTTTTAAATGTGTTCAAAATGACTGAAAAGAGAATCTAAAAGGACATGTTTTTCTCCAGCAATGATGTCTGGGCTTTAATTTGAATTAAAAAAAACAATCTTACTGAGATTGTCATTATGACATGGAGGTGCTGTTGTACCAGTGTGAGGCTCATGAATGTGGGTCTTGTGTAGTTTAGTCTGAATTTACAATAACATCATATTTTCTGTCTTAAAAACTGAAAAAAACAACAACTGGTTGTATTTCATAAGCAGACCTGGTGTTGTATCTGTGTTGTTTACTTGCTTTATTGTGCACTAAGGAAACCCTATGGTATGTTCCCTGTGCTTTAATAAAACAGGTTTGTGTTCCACGCTTCAGTGAAAAATGAAAAACACCCATTGTTGTCATCGTTAGTGTTCAGTCCTTTTGCACATTACTAATGTTGAATCCAAACTTTTCTTACTTCCTGGGTGTCTCAGTGGCATCGCCTGCTCCATCATCACTTTGCTCGCCAATCTCAGTCGATTCTTCTTTTTTTATGTCTTCTTCCTCCGTATCCGACTCCTCTTTCTTGACCTCCTTTTGCAACATTGCACGCCGCTCCGATTGTTCACTGAGGAGTTTGACAATTAAGCATCATTTACATTGAAGCCAACATTTTAACATCAGTCGTTTGAGAGGTTTTTCTGTAAAGTATGACTAACACCAATTGCGGAAAGGCAGTGCATCTTACATGTTTGTCTCGGGTGGACAGATGAGGTCATTGGGGTCATCCCTGAATGGAGGGTCCTCATCGAGGGCAGCATCTGGATCCGAAATACTGTCGTGGACATCGACATCATATGGGCCCCTATGGAATTCAAATTGTAAAACTGAACACTCAAAAACAAACTAACACAATTTAATAAGTTGAATTCTTCTCACGTGTTATTGTTTTCTTCAGAGGCACCTGTTTCCTCTCCTGAAAAACAAACACAATGTCATTTCAGTTTAAATAATCATTGTATAGTTGTATGTCTTATTTTATATTTATATTGACAATGGTAGAGACTGTATCAAGACAATTGGAATTGGTCTTTTCTTTTACCACTTGATGAAGCCTCAGCCTCTGCTTCTGGCTTGCATGCTGTTGCTAGTGAGGTGCGAGAAGCTCTGCGTGGAGGTCTCCCTTTGCCCTTTATAGACTTGTCCGGCTTAGTCCCCAGACTGTTTTTGGATACTAAGAAAGTCAAAGTGTGAATGTTTTAATAAAATTAAAGGAAAAAAATCCCTGCTCAAAGATGAAAGTCACTCTAATGTGTGTCTTTGTACCTTTTACAGCTGGGGATTCCTTTAAGGGTCTGCAGGAGGAGAGAAAGAGTAAATGACAGCAAGGTGCATGTTGAAATATATCTGTAGTATAACAAAACAATGCACAGTGTGCTTAGACTCCTTTGACTATGACAGGAGAACAACAGCTACATTCAACTAATTCTTGGGGGTTTCAATTATCTCGGGTAACCCACGTATAGCTTTAAGAAACCTGAGTCCGACAGGCACAAGACTTCTTGCAAATTACTCGCAAGGGTTCATCAAACAAGCCTCTTTCAAACGATGCAGCTATCCTCTCGCAGTAGCAGACCACAGCTAAAGTAGTGGATGTGCCTTTTGTTCGCGCACTTACTTCACTACAGGTGCATTTTTAGAGCTCGATCCAGTTGTTCTTCTTAGTCCACGATGAAGACACAGAGACTTGTTCTTGGTTGAGGTTTTCTTTGACTCATGACAGTCAGATACAGCTCCTCTGGCTCGCAACACACGCACAGTACCAGTTAAACAGTCAACGCCGTCCGGGGGGGTCACTGCAGCTTTAACGCGCTTTCTACTTCCTCCTCTCCCGCTGGACTGCTCAGTCGAGTCCGCGGATGCATCTGCGGCCTGCATTTAAGCTCCTTTCTTTACTCTTTTGGAAAACACCGCAAACCTCGTCCTCCTATGAATTAGTTGTTATGGAACTGCTGCGGTCCTTTAATACTTTTGTAAATAGTTAAGTTATCAACATGGAAAGATTAACACCAACGAAACGTCGATGGCCCCGATGGAGGCAAGTTTTGTTGACTCGGTAAATTTCACCAAGCAGGCATTTTATTACTAAATTATGAGTTAAAAATGTTACGGAATATGATAAATGTAATATTTACAAACATTCACCAAATATTTTCTTCTTAAAGCTATAGCAAGCCTCGTATTTCGTTGGCTTGGACTAGGCCTGTTAGGGATGCGTCTCCTTTAAGAGCAACAACAGCGAAGGTGCGTGGTTAGGCGAATGTATTATGTTTGGACTCGCGAGTTTCCATACTTGACTAGGTTGGTTGTGGGAAAGGTAGTTCAAATATAAATTACACAGCTATTTGATTAATACATCTAAAATGTTACTTGTACAACTCTTTAAATGTTTCAAGAACATTTGCATATCTCTGTATACACAATGCATAATAATCTTTTGGTACCCCCCCCCCCCAGTCTGCAAATAGAACCTGATCCTTCATTGCTACATCCTTAAATTAATTTCATTAATAAAACTGAGATTCAAAAAAACATGGATGGCTACTCAAGGTTAGGAGAAAATAACTGGTATTTAAAATGCTTCTTGATTGAAAAACATATTATTGAAGTTTGAAGACCCAAGTTGTTTCTGAAATAAAGGATGGCTCATTAAGCTTGAGAAGGTTTTGTGACTTGGAGCACTTCATTGTTGACATAGGATGAAAGATGACAATTAGGTTGTTGGGACATTAACCAGTATGTTATATGCATAGCATGCAATCACACAGAACAAGGGTCTTTGGGACAGAGGTCAGGGGCCTACAGAGAGTTGTCATGACTACCTAGAAGGTCTTGTTAAATTCTTGAATTAGAATATTTTACAAAGCAATGGAATGAGACAGAGTGATAAAATAGCCATAGGTAATCATAAAGAAGACACATTTAAGTAAACATGGTGGTTTACAAATTGTTCATCGATATTTTTTAACCAACATAGTCCAGGCCACCTCTACAGAAGGAGGGAAAACATCCAGTGGATTTAAAAATAGTAAATAATAATAGGACCAAAGTGTAATAAAACCTTTGTTAGAATTCAAACTGGCTTAAAATCTGACAGACTTGAGGCATCACTATGCTTGTTTTTAATCCTCTAAAGTGTGAAGCCATGATGTTATTGTCAAAAGAAGGAATGTTGGGATGTGAAGGAGGGTCACCTGAATTAGGTCTACAATTCTTTAAATTCAGTAAAATTTTTTACTAAGGATTAGAATGACAGATTCAATTGAATTTTCTCCTCTTTACTCATAATGAACAATTATTGTATTTGTGTAGCACTTAAAAACAAAACAAGGGTTTATAGTGCTTTGATACAAGCAGAAGCAAACATAACAACAAAGCGAACTCAAATAACAACAACAACATAATATATAATTTAATGACTTCTTAATGGCATGCATGAATTAAATGTAAAAATCATAAACAAATTATCTCTTTTATGCGTGTGTTTGGGTCCTGTGTGTTGATTCAGTATCTCTAGGGGACTAATAAATGGTCAGATCATAAAGGTGAGGTTGTGCTGAAATAAAAAAAAAATACCAGGCACTTATATGATAAACATTTTTGATGTAGTATACATAAGTAAAATGACAATTAGAGTAAAACGGCCAAAATAGGCCTCAGAGGGTGTAATGCGTGTGTTGCCTAGTAACCAAGTTGAAAATTATGTAATACATTGCCAAAATTAACATATTTATTTGATCTTGGCACAGATAATCATCTAGTGATATTTTCAAAAGCTTTAATGAATTCCTTGACCCAGAAAATGTATATATTGACACCTAGATTGACCTTCTAAGTGGCTTGGAAGACATATTGGCACATACAGACTTTACATGGCCGCCATCTTGGAACTGCCATCTCGATGGAGCAGCTCCCCCCAAAAATTGAAAGCTATGGTGATGGAGACTATGTGGAAAAATGTTGGTGCTTTTTTCAGGCGTGTTCCCATTCTTCCCAAATCTGGACCTAAGCCACCTGACTATTGGGTGTGGTCCAAAGCTCACATGATAAGATATGATGGGAAAATGCTGATAGTTCCTCATGTCTGAGTAATGTATCAAGTCATGTACCCAATTGTCTTTTGTATTATCCATTGGACATACTGAACATATCAAGTTACCCATCAGTCAAAAATATCTAACTGTTCTGGTCTGTCAAGTTTGAACACTCCTTGAGAAAAGTTGATAAATGCAGCTCAATGAAACTTAGCAGCATAGTAAATTATTTAAATCCTAATGTAATTAATCATGAAAAAAAGGTTATCTTTGCAGCTTGTGCATGTGTGAGTATGTGTAAACACAACACTGTATACACGCTGGACACACAGCAATGCCCTGCACCCTGACCCCAAACACATTCTGCAGATATTTTACGAGTCAGACTACAAATTTGGAGCCATAAAAGCACAAATGTGATACGCCTGTTTTTTAAAAGTTCCGAGCCAGCTCTGTGCCACAACAGGATGTTAAAAAGTTACTAACAACAGAATGGTAAGGTGAGGTTCCTCAACAACGACACACATTTTTTTTCAGGCCAGTCAGCATTATTTTAAAAGTAATGTTCTTGAATTAGAGGTGCATTTCATACTCGCTACACACACACAAAAATCCAAATGACCTTTTGTATAATATTACTTTTTGGAACTATTTTAGATAATGAAATGCCATTAGGTTGACCTCTAACCTTACTGTAAAATGTTAATGTTGTCATTGACAGAAATTATTTGCTGATTTTTGTAGCAGTAAGAATTAGATTTTTTGATGCTATCCGAGTCACAGACAGTGACACTCAAATATGAGATCAAGGAAGTGTGAATCATCACTCCACCTGTCAGATCCCTGCACTTGGCTAGACATGTTTCTCTCCAGGGTCAAATCAAATACAACACAAGAGGAAGTGTTAATTTATATAAACATTAAGGGCAAAACTACAGTCTTTCTCAACTGTAAAACAAAACTTGGTTTCACACTGATAATGTCCACTGTCATTAAATATGCCTTTGCATAAATGTGCTTCAGTACTGCTGCTCAGGGGCTGACAGAGCCGACTTGGGTTTCTATGGGTTTAAATGAGCGTATCTTGGGAGTGTAAGCAGGTAGATTAGGGGGAAACATTTGGTCTAAGGCAGTGGCGATTCTTAAGTCTTTTGGTACCATATATGCAAAAATCAATTGGGGGGGGGCTCCAACCAGTGTTCATCACCATCAAGTCTGCAGTGTCTCTTTACGCCTCTTCCTCTTTTTTCTTTTTTCCTCTTTCTTATTTCTCTTCTATAGACCCATAATTCCTCTTCATTTTTATTGGTTGACTTCATTGTCAAACTTTGGTTTTCACAGCAATAATGCATGCTACGGTTAGCATGCAAAGAGAGTGAGTGCTGTCAGATGGTGCCTCCTAAGGGAGGTTTCCTACTGTCCTTGCAAAAAATGCACATTTTGGGTCCCTGATTTGGTTTAAGGTTGTGAGCCCTCAGGGGCCCCCTACTGGTTTGCGGCCCCAAGCAGTTGCCTGCCTTGCCTGTTGACAAGCAGCGCCTCTGGTCTAAGGTTTAAATGCAATAAATGGGCAGATTTCAATCGTTGAACATAAACTCTCAAAATCATTTCACCTCACATAATTCACTGGGGTCTCCAACCACCAAGTTGCTTTCTAGAAAGTCCAATCACACCTCTCAAGCTCTGAAATAAATCAAATCAAATCTATTTATAAAGCACATTTAAAAAACTGACCAAAGTGCTGTACACATAACAAGAGAGCACCACAGCACAAAAAGTACACAAACAAACAAATCAAAAAAACAAAATAACAACAAGACAAAAACGTACACATACATGTGCACCCACTCACAAATGCACACACAGATTACCAACAACACAACCAGACAACAAGATTACATGACACTTGATAGAAATACATTAGAAAGAAACACAAGCAACCTTATTATGACTCAAAAGCCAACATGTAAAAATGTGTTTTGAGGCTGGACTCCACAGAGGGGGCAGACCTGACTGAGGAGGGAAGGCTGTTCCACAACCGTGAGGCCTTGACCTTGACAAAATTTATAACGGGGCTGAGGTACAGCCAGGAGGCCCATGTTTGAGGATCATGGGGACAATCTATAAAAATAAAGGTGAGAACAGATTGTTGCTGAATGTGATGGTTGTCATTTTGTTTGCTGGCGTTAGGCCAAATGTGTCAAACAAACTGAACTGTGACAGCTTCTTTTCTTTGGAAATGTATCTCAATGAAAACCAAGTTGAGCTTATCCAGCTCAAACTTATAGAGCGTTATTTCAAGATATAAAAGTTTGCACAAACTGAAACTTAATATAACATTGAATTCATGATCACATGCACACGGCAGCCAATGTGGCTTAAGATTCAAGTTGTACTTTAAATAGTTTGTCACATCACTTCATATGAAATGTGCAGATATTATCAGCCTTATACCTTCTGTTTCCAGGGTATGATTAACCATCATATTTTAATATCTTCACTCGTTCCTCTTGTTCCTGAGCATGAAATAAAAAAAAAATAAAAAAAATAGTTTGTCACTGCTATGAGGTGGACTGACAGGCGTTATTGTAGCAGGTAGAACTGGTTTGACGAGACAACTAAAGATGGCTCTTCTTTTTTGGTTTTGACTACGCTGATCAGCGAAATGGGAATTCACACAAGCTATAACAGGGCATAAAGGTGATTTGTAGATTTCAGATGTAATTGTTGATTTTATGGCTCACAATCTTAACATTCTGTAACTCTTCTGAATTCTCATGTTAGATCAGTTAGGAGTGCAGCCTACTAGTTGGATGAGTAAGATCAGTTTGAAATATCAAAGTT